TGTTAAATACTGGGGACTCCAAAGAGCTTTATTTATCAATATTTACTGTATTGGAAATTAATTGAAGAAATAAATTTTAATTAATTCATGTTAATATAAATAACTTGTGTAAAAATAACTTTTCAAAAACAAAATTTTAGTGTTAAGAGTAATATTGTTTCACATTTTTGCAAATTTCTTTAATATTTGGCTTAATTGAAAAAATTTGGTTCTCATATTTGCTTCTGTATTCCAGCTGTTGTGATTTTTGTTTTGATTAATGTATATTGAAGATAATGTGGCAGCCTCACAGATTAGCAGTTGGAAAAGGAAGACTATTTTTAGATAATTATGAGCATTATTCTTTGATGTTCCATCAAAACTTCACTAATGATCATAGGGGTTAGTGCAGTGTGGACTCTGAAACCTCATCAATGAATTTTTAGTATTCTCTTTTACAATACTGTCCATTGGTTTATCTTGCCCTTTGAGTAGGTTCTTTATTTTCTAGCCATACATGCTTTTTGTTCCTGTAGACCACTAAAGGTTATGAAGGACTCCCAGGGTTTCCTGGGTCACACTTTGAGAATCACCGCTGTAAGAGTATCTGGCCACAGAGGGTGGTTGCTACTTTGAAGGCTATGGGTATTTTTAACTGTGCAGAGCAATTTGGCACTGTCCTGTTATGTAGCTGTGTGAATTTATATTCCTACCAGCAGCATAGATGTATTCTAGGTGTTACACATCTTCAGCAACACTTAGTGTGAATAGACAGTGTAATTTTTGCTAACCTGGTTAGTGTGAGAAATGGCACTTTATGTCTTTTGTGTATATTTCTATTGGGTTCTATTTACCCAACTATTTCTTTTCTGTCAGTTCACTCTTCTCTCTCCCTCCTGCTCTCCCTCTTCCCCAGTTGATCGAGATTCTCCTACCTTAGTCTGTCCTTCTTGCAGTGTTAAATATACTGTGTCTTCTACTCATAGTCATTGCCTCAGGCATGCTTAATAAGGTAATCAAAACACAAGGATCTTAGAGAGCTTTCCCTGACTTGATATGATTGTTTTAAAAATTTTTTTTTTTTGCTTTTTTCTTGTGGTCATTCAAATTAATATTATTTGTGTATAGTGTCCTTCACAAAGACTGTAGGAAGAATATGTGAAGGCATATTGTAGAAGTCACTGGAGAATGCTGCATATATCTCAAGCATTACCTATTCTTCTGCAAAAAATAATATCAAATGAAAAATTTAAATATGTGCTACTTATTCCCAAAACCATAACTAAGTTTAATTGCATTAGAAATATTAATTTCTTGAGGAACAAGCAGTTCAGTGAATGTATTTTATGCCAAAGTCTTAATTTTGACCTCAGAGGAGTAGAATTAAAATTCTGTTATTCTAGGATCTTAATTGCTATAACTATAATAGAAGGTACTCAGTTTAAATTGGCCAATAGGCCGGGAGAGGTGGCTCATGCCTGTAATCTTAGTACTCTGGGAGGATCACTTGAGGCCGGAAGTTCAATACCAGCCTGAGCAAGAGTGAGATTCTGTTTCTACAAAAAATAGAAAAATTAGCTGGGTGTGGTATTGTGTGCCTATAGACCCAGCTACTTGGGAGGCTGAGGCAGGAGGATCGCTTGAGCCCAGGAGTCTGAGGTTGCAGTGAGCTAGGATGACCATTGTACTCCAGCCCTGGTGACAGAGCAAGATACTGTTTCCAAAAAAATAAAAAATTGACTGATAAATAACATAATGAGAAATAAATTGAGCATCTTTTAAAAGTGTTTATTAGCACTTTTTGGAGTACTTGCTATCTGATACATAAATATCTCTCAAATTTCTCAATGACAACTGTAGAGTTATAGTTCCCAACCCCTGGGCCAAGGCCAAGTACTGGTCCATGACTTGTTAGGAGATGAGAGCTACATATCACTGCTTGAGTTCCATACCAATTCATACCACCTCGCCCCCAACGACGATACCCTACCCCTCCACCCTTGGTCTGTGGAAAAATTGTCTTCCTTGAAACCAGTCTCTGGTGCCAAAAAGCTTGCGGACCACTGCTCTAGAGGGTGTAAGTATTATTATCACCCTTTTGTTGACAAGAAAATGCAGATAGCATGTAGCTAATTAGTGATTAAGTCAGGATTAGAACCTAATTAGTTAACTTTTCATTTAGACTTTATTTTATAACAATAGTACAAATTTGCTTAGAAATATTTGTTTAGCATATTTTGCTTAGAAATATTTACAACCTAGTCACTGGGAAATGGTATGACTTCTATACTGTGTTCCTACTGTGTTAGTTGTCTGTTTCTGGATAACAAATTACCCAATGTTAGCAGCTTTTTCTCACAGTTTATGGGGTTAGGAATTGGGCATGACTTAGCTGGGTCCCCTGTTGCAGGGCTGCAGGCTACACTCAAGGTGTTAATATGGCTGCAGCATTATCTAAAGGCTCAGCCAGTGAAGGATTTGCTTGTAAACTCACTTGGTTGTTGGCAGGATTCACTTCCTCTTGAGCTGTTAGACCATTGGCCAGAGGGTTCCCTTGGTTCCTTCTCACATGGGCCTCTCATAAAACATCTAACAGCATGGCAGCTTGTTTTATGAGAGCAGGCAAGTGAGATGGCAAGAGAGAATGCTAGCAAGATGGAAGTCTCAGTGTTTCCTAATCAAGGAAGTGACATCCAGTCACTTTTGTCTTATTCTGTTCATTAAAAGGAGTCACCAGGTCCAGCCCACACTCCAGGACAGAGTGTTACAGAAAGGCAGGGAGAACCTATACCTGCCTATACCTGGCAGGCAGGGCTACCATACCTGCCAGCCACTGTTTTCATTTGAGGTTCTAGAAGTAGAGGTGCAGTCATATGAGAGGGCAGGCCATCTCTTTCAACATGCCCCCATTCCATAGCTATTACGGGTTTTTATCCAGAGGCTCAGTTATCAGGGTACATGGTGAAAAGTAAGAAATAAAGTAGTGTCACAGGAAGAAGTTTGGCTGAAAAGGTCAGAAATGTAAAAGCCCCAAGGAAGAGAAGCGAGGATGTCAAGAAATATGAAAAAAGGAGGAGAAAGGGAAGTACCAGCAGGGCATTCTCCACATACAGATATCCTGGAACACGAGGGGACGGCTGGAGGAGCCACCAGCCTTATGGTAGGAGTACAAATCTCACTTAACCCTTTTTGAAACTCTCCAGGGTTCTAAGCAAGTCCTTAGTTTGTTTCTCTGATTCCTTTCTTATCTCCTGGGAAGAATCCCCCTCTCTTTCTTCTCCTCTTCCCTCCTGGCCCTAAAGAGGCCCCAGTGACTTGAGCTCCCTTCCTCTCTCCCATTCCTTTTGTTTGACACAGACACATCTTGAGCCCTCCATCCTAAGTCTTGAGATTTAGGGCTGCTTCCCTCACCTTCCAATAGGGATGAATTATGTGGAAGAAATTAGACTCTAGGAGAAAAAGATGCAAATTCCATCCAGAAGAAGTAGTCTCTAATACATCCTGTACAAAGGGATCAGTACCATACATACAGGAAACAAGTTCTCAGCAAAGTGACAGCATGCACACGTTAATTAATGCTCTTTCCACTGTGGTCTATCAGAAATATTAAAGACCACCCTAACTAAGGATGATAAAACATAAACAAGCAAGCCATGGCTCCAGAGCAACACCCTCAAAACTGGATGATTCAGTCATTCGGGGAAAGTCCTCCCTTGGAGCGAGCAGATGTTACCAATACCTAATTACCTATGAATACTTTGAGACCTATTCTTCAAAAGTCAAGTGTCAAAACAGACAACATAGAATACTAAAATATTCTAAAAAGCAAAATGGACAAATATAGAGCCCTCACCCAGAAATAATATTCATACAGTTTCTCATTTGGATTGTTCTCTCCCACCAGGTGAGTAGTTGGGAGTATATTTTAAAAATGAAGCCATCAAAAGGAGGTGGAGAATGATTGACCCATTGAGGAGAGAGATTTCTAGAATTAACTTCCTTTGTCGTACCTCACCCAAAATTGGAACCCATCAATTACAATTCCCATCTTAGTAAGAATACTAGATTTCAAGTATTGTTACATACAAACTATAACCTTAAAAAAGTCCTCCTTCCCCCCAGTGTAGGCACCTGGTTTTTGTGAGACATCAAGCTTAAGATTTTCCATCTGGAGGAAGAAATTGTTAAGAGTCCATGTGCATGGTCTTGGGAATAGGTTGAACTATAGGCAGAAACAAGGGATCTTATTGGGGAAATGGTCTAAAATTGTGGTGATGATTATACAACTTGGGAAAAGTTATTAAAAAATCATAGAATCATATACTCAAAATGAGTGAATTTTATGACATATAAATTATACCTTCATAAAGTTATTATACCTTCATAAAGCTTAAAAAGAGGCAATGTGCAGACCTCTTAAAACCACATCATGAACTTTTTAATAAGGTGTTACTCTCTTATATTCCTCATAAATTCTTCCTTTCTTATTGTACTTTAACCCCTCTGGTGTTCAATCTTATTTTATTCTAAAACCTCTAAAAAAGCTGCCCCCTTTCCATCGTTTCCTAACAGTTTTTCATTATTTTGATGAAATTATTTTATACTTGAAAGTAAATACTTAGGAAATATAACTAGAAGGCAAAATAAATAAACCTCAAATTAATTTATTCTGCAGCACTATATATAAGAAAGGGAGCAAGGTCATTTCCTTACTCCATTCTTTTCTACCCTTTTGCATTCCAAGATATATTTGCTTCCTGGTAAGTTTGGAAAATCCAGGTCTTTTGAGTCTTGATCCACCACTGTTGTGGACCATGTCAGTGGATATAAAGATGCCTCCACTGATGGCATCTTGGTGCCATGTCAAGCGTGGTGAAGCAAGTCATTAGACAAGCCAGTTTTGCCAGTATCTCTTCACTTTTTTTCCCCAATTAATTTAAATATTTGGAATGGTCGGATGTATATTATGGGTATTAAATTTAAGAGATTAAAAATCCTGCTTAATTTTATTATTCTTCTAGCTCAAATCTAACCCAAGTGAAAATGAAGAAAAGGAAGCCCAGTCTCAACTCATAAAATCTGATGAAATGCAACGTTTACGTTCACAAGCACTTCATGCTTTTGAAAGTGCAGATTATACTGCTGCTATAACCTTCCTTGATAAGATTATAGAGGTAAGTTTCTGAGATACTGCAGCTGACCAGCCTAACACTTACTGCTTTTTACTGTCAGACATGTTTAGACACTCTGATGTGTTATGTACCACAAAAAACTTAGAACAAAATCATGTTGGTCCTTAGAGTTTCAGCTTTTAAGTAAAAGATTGTGTTTATATAGAACAAAATTTGGACTGAAGTTTTCAATAAATGTACTGAATGTACAATAAATATGCTATGGAGTGAGAGTTACATATTTTTATACAGTGCTTTGCTGTTTTGGTTTGATTTTGTATTTTTTTTGGAAGAAACTCTAGTGGTTAGACAACAGGATGAAAGATGAAAGAGTTGGTTGAAGAAGAAGGAAAAATGTTTGAGAGGAAAGAGGAGTGTTTAGAGTGAGAAGTTTTTAGGGAAAGAAGGCAAAGAGTTGATAGGATTCAGAGGATTCCAAATCTAGGTTTCCTTGCCTCTGAACGATTTAATGACAAATGATTTAAGAAGAAAGTCTACTAAAATATTCAAATGGAAACAGTCATAATTCATATTTATTTATCATTTCATAGAGCTTTGATGTATAGTTTCAATTAATTTTGGCAGTAAACTTGTGATATATGTAGAATAGACCTTTCTTTGATAATTTTACAGAGGATATTGTGATATAGTCCAGTGGAATTCATGTTTTACTAAATTATTTTGTTAATGCTTTATTAAGGAAATATAAAGTTTTAATTTTTAATTAAATATATTAAAAATATAAAGTTTAAAGTTTTAATTCCTCATTTTAATTTGAATTAATAAATGTGTGCAGGGTACAGTGTCATACATAAAAGTGTACATAGTAAATTATTAAGTCCTAGTATGTTTTGTTTAATTGTTACAAATGAAAAATAGTTTTATTGTGATTTCTGTATTTAATATGGAAAACTACTCATTGATTATTTTGACTTGGGGTATTTTCCTTTTTTAAATACATGAACAGCGAAGTTCGTGAGTGTCTTAAACTTGACCAGGATCATAAAAGGTGTTTTGCACACTATAAACAAGTAAAGAAGCTTAATAAGCTGATTGAGTCAGCTGAAGAACTCATCAGAGATGGCAGGTAAGAATATGCTTGTCCTGACCATCCCTCCTTTCCTTATATGTCTGGTTGTGGGCACAAATGAACAACTGAACTTCTTGCTCCTTTACTCCTTAGCCACGGAGGGTAGGGTATTTAGGTAGTCCTGGGCCTTAGCAAAACTCCAGAATTATATATTTTTGGATTAAGGAAGTGTTTAGATGTTTGTAACTTCATAGTATCCTTAACAGACGATTTATTTATGTTACACCAAAAATTTATTTAATATCTCTTGTATGAGGTACTAAGCTATGTACAGAGGGCACAGAAATGAATTTGACTATAGTTTTTGTTTTAAGAAGTTTATAGCTTAGTGTGGGAGACAGACATATATAAACTAATATTAAAAGATAATGTGATACCAAAGTGATAGGATGTACAGAGTATAATAGAATTCCAAAGAGGGATATGTAATCCAAGCCAGGATGGTGAAGGCTGAGAGTAAAAAATGAGTAGCTTTTTGGAGAATGTGATAGATCCTTAAATCCTGATTTTAAAGAATAAGTAGGAATTGGCAGAAGTAAGAGGTTGTGTCTGTGTGAGTGATGTTTTTAGGAGCTTTGTAGGCTGGAGTAGAGGGGATTGCATACAATATTGCCTAATAGGAGGTAGGCTCTGAGTCCCCTCCTGATAACCTTAGTAAGTTGCCATCATGAGAATGCTTTATCCAATTTCCTCCCAACATGTTGCAAAACTATGGTACAGTATCTCAATCAGAATACCGACATTAGTATAGTCAAGATACAGAATAATTCCACTACAACAAGGACCTCTCATGTTAACCTTTTATAGCCACACCTACTTCCCTCTTGTCCCTACCCCTTTCTTAGTTTCTGGCAACCACTAATCTATTCCATTTCGATAATTTTGTCATTGCAAAAATGTTATATAAATGAAATCATATAATATGTAAACTTTTGGGATTGGCTTTTTTCCCTCTCAGCATAATTCTCTGGAGATTCATCCAGATTGTTGTGTGTATCAATATTTACTTCCTGTTTACCACAGAGTAGTTTCCATAGTATGACTGTACCGTAGTTTGTTTAACCATTCATTCATTTAAGGACATCTGGGCTATTTCCAGTTTTTGGTTATTATGAATAATGCTGCTTTCGTGTACAGTTCTTTGTGTGAAAATAAGTCTTCATTTCTCTGGGATAAATGCCAGGAATGCAGTTGCTGGGCTGTAATGGTAGTTGCAAGGTTTAGTTTATAAGAAATTGCCAAAATGATTTGCAGAGTGGCTGCACCATTTTACAGTCCCACCAGTAATGTATGAGTGATCCAGTTTTTGCATATCCTTGACAGCATTTGGTATTGTTACATTTTTTTAATTTTAGCCGTTGTGATAAATGTATTATGGTATCTCATTGTAGTTTTTTTTTTTTTTTGAGACAGAGTCTTGCTTTGTTGTCCAGGCTAGAGTAAGTCTCATGGCATCAGCCTAGGTCACAGCAACCTCAAACTCCTGGGCTCAAGCAATCCTACTGCCTCAGCCTCCCAAGTAGCTCGGACTACAGGCATGTGCCACCATGCCTGGCTAACTTTTTCCATTTTTGTGCTTTTTGGTTCTAAAAATTCCATTTGATTCTTTATATCTTTTATTTCTTTGGTGAGACTTTCTTTGCTGAGGCATTCTATTTTTTTCATTTGTTTAAAGCATGTTTATAGTTGCTACTTTTTTAAATGGTTGCTTTAAAATCTTTGTCAGATAATTCTAAGATCTCCGTTGTCTTGTTTTTGGCATTTGTTGATTATTTGCTCATTCTGTTAGAGATCTTTCTTCTGGTTCTTGGTATGGTAAGTGGTGATGTTTTTAAATTATTATTTATTTTTTATTAAAAAATTTTATCTGAGTGTGTTGGTTCATGCCTGTAATCCCAGCACTTTGGGAGGCTGGGGTGGGAGGATCACTTGATGCCAGGAGTTTGAGACCAACCTGGGCAATACAGCGAGATCCCTATCTCAACAAACAAGAACAAATTTAGCCAGGCATAGTGGTGGGTGCCTATACTCCCAGCTACTCTGGAGGCTGAGGTGAGAGCATCACTTGAGTCGAGAAGGTTGAGACTGCAGTGCGCTCCATCTGGGACAACAGAGCAAGACCATGTGTCAAAAAAATAAAAAATAAAGCAATAATAATTTTTTTTAGAGATAGGGTCTCACTATGTTGCCCAAGCTGTCCTTGAACTCCTGGGCTCAAGGCATCCTCCCATCTTAGCCTCTGGAGTACCTCTAATTGATAAGTGGTTTTTAATTGAAACCTGGAATCATTTTGTAAGACTAGTTTTTATTTAAACCTTTTGTTTTGGCTGGCTTTTCCTGACATTGTTCTAATAAAGTGGGGAGGAGGGACCATCTTGTTACTGTAGATGGTAGTGGAAGTTTTCCTACTTTGCCTTTGTTGCTACTCCAGGGGCACGGAACTCTTGCGACCACTTTGGTACATTTGAGAGTTTTGGTGCCTCACACAGTCTCGACAGGCACCACTGGAGGAATGGGGTGGGGACTCATTAACTACCATGGATGAAACTCCAGCTCCCAACTTGGCCTTCTCTGACACTACCTTGGTAGGGGTATATGGGAACCTTGTCACCACCTCACGAGGGAGGAAGTCTAGGTTCTTCTCTTGGCCAGTTCTTTGCTGGCACTGGTGGGGATGGGGCCATAATTTTTCTCTGTAGTGTTTGGCTGGAGTAGAGCTGTTATTGTCAAAAAGTTTTTTGCCTTGTTAGGCTACCCTTTCCACGTCCGTTGGCTAGGGAGAACAGACTTCTGCTGTTTTTTGTTATTGTTGTTCTGTACCTGTTGGCATTTCTGTGTTACTGAAATTTTCAGCTCTAAGTCCGGGATATATGAAACAAACAAAAAAAAGCCAGGAACTTACCAACATTCTGTTCCTCAGGTCCTGAGGTCTGCCTTCTTCTCTCCTCCTTTTAAAGTCTTCTATTAAACAAACAAACAAACAAACAAACAAATATATATATGTATATCTATACACACACACATAATAATATAAAATATGTCTAGGGTTTTTAGTTGTACTTAGCTAGAAGAATTGGGAAAAGTACATCTTCACTTTCCCAGAAGCTAGCTTTTGTTCGAAATGTTCAACTTAAACATTTAATCCATGAGCATTTACATTTGCAGATTGCAGCACTTTAGGAAGAATGTGCCACAATAGCATATAAAATACATCTTTTAGTTTGCCATTACTGAAGAAAGTAACTTAGTATATAACATGCTAGCACTTTTCACGAGTTTAAAGAAAATGCTAAAATAGATTTTATTGTTCTTAGAAAGTTTATAAAGTGGAGAATTTAAGTAGGTTCCTTCTGTATGAACTGCATGGTACTTAGTTATGAATATGTTAACTTTATTATATAAGATGGCATGTAATGGAGTCTTATTTTCATGAAAGTGTGTAGTAACTAAATTTGTATTAGTGATAGTGCTCAGGGTAAGTCATACTTTAACAAAGTGTTTTACTCAATTTTAAAATCATGAGCTTTTTTCTGTAAAGAAATGCATTATTTGCTTTGATTGTTATGGGTATGCTTTGATTTGTCTGTATACATCTCCTGTGGTCGTGTGTTTTATCTCCTAATTCTTAATTATAGAGCATACCTTCTGTGCACTCTATATTAATGAGACAGAAGCAGTGTTTGAAGGCATGTGCTCATCAAGTTGAATTGGTTAAGCCACATAGAGTAAAGAGAAGACTGACCTTCCTACAGCTCTGGGAATAGAATTTCATTGTTGCTTATCATGATTTCCTCATTTAATAGATACATAGATGCGACCAGCAAATATGAATCTGTAATGAAAACAGAGCCAAACATTGCTGAGTATACAGTTCGTTCAAAAGAAAGGATTTGCCATTGCTTTTCTAAGGTACGGTTGACTTGTTCCTAGAAATGTAAAAATTTAACATGTGGAATAACAACCATAAATTATTTTCTCACATTTCATTTTAGGACGAAAAGCCTGTTGAAGCTATTAGAATATGTTCTGAAGTTTTACAGATGGAACCTGACAATGTGAATGCTCTGAAAGATCGAGCAGAGGCCTATTTAATAGAAGAAATGTATGATGAAGGTAAATCTTTAAGGAATTTGATTTGCAGTTTCTAAAAGTTGATTATATGAAATTATCACATTAAGCTTCCTTGACAATTTTAGGAAAATGGCAGAGAACTTGCAAATTATTTTTCCTTTGTGGAACTTGGAAAGTATACTGTGTGAGGAAAGAGTTCTGCTATTGAAACAAGTTCAGTGAAATGTAAAAATAAAAATTTTAGCTTTTATTGTAGATGAGTTAGGAAAGACAGCAGAATGGAAAATTTAAATTATAAACCTCATATCATCCAGAGGTAGTCACTATTCATTTCAGATTTATATCCTTCCAGATTTTTGTCTATGTATATATATATTACTATATATTTTATGTATATACACATATTTTGTGCATAGACATGGTATATATAATACATACATATATCTATATACATACATACACACACACATATATATATAAAGCATACATATATGTCATATATGCCTAATATAAAATGATTCTCTGTAGTCCCCAGGCTGTGTGGTAACATTAGGATAGTTGCTATCCTGCTGTGTTCAAGTCGAAGTAGCAAGAGAGATTCCTGCTAGATGTAAGGACCTTGAATAAAGGCAGTGCCCTGTTTCTGGAAGATAACTAAGGCATATATAGTAATATACATGTTTTTGAAAAATAGAATCCCTTTATATATACTGTTTTGTAGCTTTTTTCATGTGCCACTATATTATGAACATTTAAATGAGATTTTTTTTTAAATGAAATAAATAAACAAACCCTTATTGCAAAGTTTTTGTTCCAAATTAAGTAGAACATTTTAAATAAAAAGCAATAAAAAGTGATTTTTCAGTTACAGTTAAATGGTTTGAATGGTGAAACTTGGTTTGTGGTACTCTTTTTAAAGGCAGAGATTGGTCAAGTATCTTTTTCCTGCTTTCCCCAATTTGAAAAGAATCTTGCTTCTAAGCATTTTCCAGGGAGTGATGACAACTCTGGTTACTACTATTTGTGGGATATTTTGTGGAGCATTCAGACCTTGAGGTCTGAATGAAGCTTGAAATATATGCACTCAAAATGATAAGTTTTAATATTTATAAGAATTTTAATATTTTATAAGACTACATGCCTTCAATAAGGCATGTAGTCCACATAGAAGATGCCTTTTTAGCATACTTGTTCTCTTCACTTTTTGAACTACTATGTTCACTCCGTGAGATGGCTTTACTCTAGGATTTTGCATTCCAGTTAGTTTTTGGAATTCTTCATCAAAGGTACTTTTGTCATCTATATGTAAACCCTCAGCTCCAACTGTGAAGTTAGAGAAGCTGTGGAAGAATATAAAAAGCTTAGCTATTAAAAAAAATGGTTAACTCTTATAGGCTGCTAAATATAATTTGAAAGATACTTTTGTAACTTGAATATTAAACTGACTTGATTTTTAGGGAAACTTGATGACTTAATTCTTGAAGAAAAAGGTGCTAATGCTAATTTAATATAATTGATTTGTCTTTGAGTATGTTTTTTGCTTAAAAAATTTTCTCAAAATAAGAGTTTATTTGTCTTTTCAGGAAGAGGGTTTGATTATACGTGGGGGGAATCTTTCTGAATTATGGTTTTAAAAGAGTAAAGTGGTTGAGTAACAAGTATAGAAATTAAGTAATCCTACTCAAAGGAAGGAGGGGAGGGAGAGAGAGAGAGAGAGAGAGAGAGAAAGAGAGAAAGAAAAAACAGGGTACCAGATCTCTAAATATGCCAAAGAAAGAAGAAAAGCCTATATAGCTGAAACTGACAGGTATTACCTGACTTGTTTGAATTCAAATCAAAAGGTTAGTAAATTATGTAACTGAGTAATAATCTTACTAAGCTAAATAATAGTATGTCTTTAGTTGAAATACGGAAATAAAATGTGAAGGCTTTCCATATTCTTTTGTTTACTGGTTTTACCTTTTTTAAATCAATTTAAAATGCTGGTATATAACGAATAAAGAATCAATAGGTCAAACTTAGTGAATAATCGAACATGGAGATTTATTATTTGGGGCTTATAGAATTATTAGGAAACATCAGAATTCTGCTCATTAGAAAACATACTCATTAGAAAGTAAGTAAAGTAAGACTGTTATTTGAGGATGCCTATGAGATCATAAAAAATGAAGTGAAACTCATTTTCATGTCTTCGTTTTCATAGCTTTTGAGAGGAACCAACTGACACTGAGGAATGTAAAATTTTGGCAGAGTTCCTTTGAATATAGGGAGGACTCAGGTGCCCTTATTAGATAAGCAGTTATATTTGCCAGAATTTAAGCTATGTGTGGGTAGGGATCTATTTTATTAATTGATACATTCCTGGTACTTGTGCTTGGTGCATAGCAGGCACTTGTATGTTTGCTGAATGAATGGTTGTATTTATTTATAGAAAGTCATAGTGAAGCATGAAATTTAGAGTTAGTCCTGGCTTTTTGAGTCTGGCTTATGCAGTTATTTTTTAATTGTGGTAAAACACACATAACATAAAACTTACCATCTTAACAATTTTCAAGTGCACAGTTCACTAGAGTTAAATATATTCACATTGCTGTGAGAAAGATCTTCAAAACCTTTTCATCTTGCATATCTGATCTTTATACCTATTAAATAACAGCTTCCTCTTCCCTTCCCCCTAGCACTTGGTAACCACCATTCTTCTTTCTGTCTCTGTGAATTTGACTACTCTAGATTCCATATAATGGGAATCATACAGTATTTGTCTTTTTGTGACTGGCTTATTTCATTTAGCATAATGTCCTCAGGGTTCATCCATGTTGTAGCATGTGTCAGAATTTCCTTTTAAGGCTGAGTAATATTTCATTGTATGTACATACCACTTTTGTTTATTCATTCATCTATTGACAGACATTTGTATTGTTTCTACCTCTTGGCTATTGTGAATGGTGTTGCTGTAGACATGGGTGTGCATATATATATATATATATATATCTTGAAGACTCAGCTTTCCATTCTTTTGGATATATACCTAAGAGTGGAATTGCAGAATCTTATGGTAGTTCTATTTTTACTTTTTTGAGAAATCTCCATAGTATTTTTTATACCATTTTATAATTCTACCAATAGTGCACAAGGGTTCCAGTTCCTCTACCTCCCTGTCAGTACTTTTTATTTATTAATTTTTTAATAGTAGCCATTTTAATAGCCATGAAGCAAAATCTCATTTTGGTTTTTATTTGTATTTCCATAATGATTAGTGATTTAGAGCCATTTGCATATCTTCTTTGGAGTGGGCCATTTATTTTTGCTATATGGTTTGAATCAAGTCACTTAACCCTATTATATTTTACTTTATCTGTCAAGTAGGAGTAAGAATAGTACAAATCTCATAGAATTGTTGTGACTATTAAATAAGATGATGTTCAGAACATGTTCAGCACAGTGCTCCTAGGAAACTTCTAAATAAATGATTTCTACTGTACTCATTTTCAGGATAGTTGTTTGGAACTTGGATTGACTTTTCTGTACAAACAACATATATGGGATAGCTAGCTTCCTTGTCTAACCCGTGACTACTGTGTGCACTCACTTTGACACAGCTGTTATTTTAGTATTACTAGTAATATCCAGAATTGTGAGAACAAGAGCCAAGCTGAGTACTTTTTCTGGATGAAGGGCTGGGTAAAATTGTGAAAGAGGTAAAGTTTATCTTTGACATCCTATGGTGGTGTTCTGTTTGCAGATTCTTTGCCCTCTTGCTTATCTTAGGACTCTACCTAGTGATGCTACCTAGGCCTGTCTTGTCCAACAAAAATATTCTGTGTTCAAAATTCACACCACCTCCTTGCATTGTCAATCATATGCCTCCAACATAGCTGTGTTTTACTAAGAATGGTCAAATTTAAGATGTTTGTATATAACTTTGATAGGTTTCTATTTCTTATGAGATAAAAACATGTTTAACCCAAAGGAGTCTGAGTAGTTGAATTGCAGGCAAGTGCTTGTGCCACCACATGTGTCGGGCAGCCTGTGGGAAGGTTCTGGGGCTACAGGGCTCCTCCTCAGGCTTGAAGAAGACAGTTCCCTCTGAGCGGATCAGATTTCTCATGACTGTTGATTTTTTTTTCAAGGTTGTTGGCCCAGGAGTCCCTGGCTTCTATTTATGGGTAGGAGAAGAGGAAGAGATTGGTTTTTTGTTGTTGTTTATATTTAGGATCATATCGAAATTTGGCTTAATCATTGAAGGCTGCTTATATATTGATAGTTTTATATACCAATCATAATAACCATGAACACATGCAGTCAGAATCTATAAAGTGGATATTTCTGAAACTTACGAATCTTCAAATATGTGTGTCTACCTTAGTTTCAGCTAATGAGTTGGAAGCAGGTGGTTAGAATAGAAAAATGGCTAGTCCTTTGCAAAGACAATTAGTGGGCTGTGGCGTGTGAGTTGATGAAGTCCTTTGGCTGTATAGCTCATGAACTATAAAATCATGTCTGCAACTGTTATTCACACACAGGCCTCTTAGCCACAGCTGTAGACTTCTCATTTCTTTTGAAAAGTGCATGGTTACAAGGAAGTCATTGTCTATATTATGATGGTCTCACAGCACGTAAACATTTCCCACAACAATTTATTATGAGAAATTTCAAATTTAGAGAAAAGTTGAAAGAATTTTATAGTGAACACCCATGTCCTCACTGTATAGATACTAAAGTTAACATTTTACTATGCCTTATCACATTTATCTGTCCCTCTATCCTTCCATTTATCCATCAGTTAATCTTTTTTAATGTATTTCAAAAAAATGTTTGATTCACTTTTCTCCAAATACTTCAACTTGCATATCATTGATTGAAATTTAAAAAAAAAAATTTTTATTTCAGCATATTATGGGGGTACAAATGTTAAGGTTATGTATATTGCCCATGCCTCCCTCCCCCTTCCAGTCAGAGCTTCAAGTGTGACCATCCTCCAAATGTTGCACATAATTGGAATTTGTTTATTGTTCTTTCTCTCTTTTTGGGGGGATAATTTT